AAATTGAGATAGCAAAATAACATTTGATTTTTAGATAAGGTTTGGAACTTTCTGCGGGATACATTTATACTTGTAAAACTGAAACAATGGTACTTATTGAATGTATTATGTATTTATATTATGATCCTTATTTTCAAGTAATACTACGCTCAAAAGAATGTCTAATAACCGCTTGAAAAGCTCATCTGGTCAACCTAGTGCCCAGTAGCCAAATTCAATAAACTGTGGCCAAATTTGATAAGAAAAGAATATTTCAGAAAAAGCTTGTAAAAAGTAAAACTATATTTGATGATTTTTTAATAAACAAGTGCCGATTTATTGTGTGATGTATATTTTTTTCGATATGCTTCTACAAATTGAAGCACCAATTGTTTTTGCTCCTCATTTTTTGTCAATATTCGATTGTAATCTTTCATAAACTTAACACCCCGCTCAGCTGTGTCATTTACAACGAATAAATCTCGACAAAATTCGAGAGCGTCTATATAATCTTAATTTTTTCCCCATTCGGATGGATCCATCCGTAAGAAGTCAGAAGACAAACCAAAGGCAACGAAGATTTTTAGATTTGTAGGACACGAAATCTCTAATAGTTTTGCCAATCAAGAGAACGGGATTTGAAATTACTCTATCTTCACTGAATTTTACGTTTGGCTCGACTGCTTGCAGTGCCTTCACCATTTCTCGTTTTTCCTCCACTGGCACATCATTATCAAAAAACGCTAAAGCTGTTCTCTCCGGCATTAAGTACCATAAATGACTTTTGAACTTTTTCAAAACCGCATTGGATACCACTGCATCAGTTTGGGCGTACTCAATTGCATTTTGTAAAAATTTTAAATCTTGCATTGGAGCCTTAATGGGATTTGTGCACTGGTACCAAGCTTTCATATAAAGGCGAATGAGGAAAATGCAAATATCTCGTAAACTATTAAATTCTCTTGGCGTCAGTTTGAACTGTTCTCGAAAAAGAAATATCTTCAGGCAATAAATAGCTTTCGACATAAACCGCGCATGGGCTAAATATTTTGTCTCGAAAACGTGCCTCAATACGATTTCGAAAATGTGGTGACGACAAGCAAGACTAATGAGATTTCGCCCGAGATGCTTTTGCAAGAGAATTGATGCTCCATTTTTTACGCCCGGTATCAAAACTCATACCACCAACTCGATCAATGAGGTTCCAACTGATTAAAAGATCGCGAACAGCGCTCGCGATATTTTCACCAGTAGCGGGATTTACAACTGCAGCGCTGAGAAATTTGGACGTTCCTTGATAGCTCAAGATAATTGCAATTCGCTCCACTTTTTGCGTGCCAACAATGTCTGCCATTAATTTTCCGTCCCAATGAACGACCGCTGATCTCACATTCCTAAACTATGTATGTATGTACATATAAAATTATTGCAAAAAAATGCATATATTAATAACTAAAAGTAAACCCAGAAAAAATCACTACAATTACGTTTTCATTAAACTCCGCTATAGAAGACTCAAATCCACGTTGGCGGTTCTTTTTTCGTTGTTCATATATTGATGAGCGATTGATCACAAATTCGTCCGCCTCAACACCAAAAGCTTCAGCTGCTGCAACCAAAATATGTACTGCCTTCCCGGAGGATACTTTGGCATCGTCCAGTGCCGCACTGAGGCGTGGCGTGATCAATTGCTTTCAACCTCTTTTGGCGCGCATTTCACTATCATCACTCATATTAGCTTCTGCATCGAAATCGTCGCTAAAATCTTCTAGACTGACATCGTCGGTGACATTCCCATTTCCGTCAAATGTAGCTTCGGGAGCTAAAGATAATTAAGTAGTTCCATTATCAAAACGTGTAAGCTTTTGTTTCAAGAAATAAAATACCGCTATTCTGTTGCGATTTCCTCTTCCGCGTTTGTTGCAATTCTTTTTGAATACGCGAGCGTTTTTCTTGAAGTGTGAGATTCACATCGACACCACCTATGCAGCCTGGGCGCTCTTTTTGTCGCTGCTGTAATAGAAACTTCCTAGTTTCTTCACTACGAATGATCTTCAAAGCATTCGCGTGAGCAATGTCAAACAACAGATCCAGCTTTTCTTCGAACACTGCTTTAGCCTCCCTAGCACGTTTCATAACCAAACGGTATTCATTGCCGATTTTCTTTAGTTTTTCCGTACACTTATGTAACTCACGGGTAGGTATTTCTGCCCTTTTCCAATAAATAATGGCTGCATTAATAGCTAAAACCACACTTCTCTTTTCATCGAAGTTTCGGCAGCGTTTATTGAAAAAATACACCTGCAAAACCTGCCTATTTGTGGGCAACTTTGCTCCAAGGATTTCCTTCAATGGATATCCAATTAAAGGGATCATTTGCAATTGTTTATTTTGCTGACGAGTCATTTCTTTTGCAGACGTTGATGCTGAATTCGATGTTACAAAAATCGTTTTATTTATTTAATCTTCATAAAAAAACTATAAACTGGCATATGAATATTCATGTGAAAAGGAATTGTGTTTTTGATAGGTTTTTGATTAAATGTGCTGTACTATATCGATTCGTTACATTCAGCCAATATAATTTACTAAAGTTACTATCACTTTTCTAATTTCAAATCAATTTGCATTTTGGTTTTGGTATAACTATACGAAATAGCATATGGTCGCTTAACTAAAACTACCTCGTATACGCTAAATGCAATACCACGCATACAATAGGAAGTCGAAAATTTAACAAAATAGGAAAAAAACATATATTTTTCAAAAATTTTCAATGGATTTCTAACTGAACTTACCAAAGATGAGCTTCTACTACAATTATTCCCATTAAATTTGTGGAGTAGCAACCATTGAGACGGGGTAACCAAAATAATTTTTTTTTGTTCCACATCATATGACAAAGCTTTTTTACCGTCAGTATAGTATATTTTATTTAAAAGAAAACATTCGACGTTTGCTATTTTGTTTGTCCGTAAACTATGGGCTTAAGTTGTTCTTTAAAATGTCCACAGATACATATGTATATTTCTTCCTGGAAAATTTTATTCTTTATCCTGTAGAAACTTTATCTGTTCTTTTTCTCTCTAAATATATCCCTTTTTTATAAATTTTTTTGCAGTTTTTTCGTATTTAACCGCCAGGCCGTGATAATTCGTAACAATTGTTCCAAACTATTACAAACTATTGCTTAATA